CATACGAAGCCCTTCTTGTAATTTTGAAGGAAAAGGTCACCAGTACACTTTAAATCCATGAACAACAATGCTTCAGCAGCAAGCCATTTTTAATGAGTATTTATTCCTTTATTAAAAGAGAAGCCTTACACTGTCTATTCAGAAGTAAGTCCCACAGTATTCAATGGAGCTTCCTCCCAGGTAACTGGGTAAAGACTAGGCAGCCTTACACTGCAATTCTAAGCATTTTTACTCAGAACTTAATCCCACTGAGTTCAATAGGATTTCTTCTATCGTGTGTTCCTGAGCTTTCTCACAGTTTCCATTACTGCTACTATATCTCGCCTTTTCCCCTCACAGGGACTCAAGGCAGCTTAAGGCTACATTTTTATTTTATTCTATTTATCTGTGGAAGGTGTTATACACAGTTCGTTCCCTCAGACATTTTTTCTTTACAACAATCCTGCAAGGACAACCTGTCATTGACTCAAGGTGATTGATGTCTATGTGTTCTATGTGATTGATGTCTATGTGTTCTATGTGTTCATGGGCGCATAACGTCTATGTGTGGGGCGAGATCAAGCGCGGGAGAAGCTTCCTGATGCAGAAGAGGATGTCCCTATTTTCACCAGGGAAATGTTGGAAGGTATGGGACGCGGGTGGCGCTGTGGGTAAAAGCCTCAGCGCCTAGGGCTTGCCGATCGAAAGGTCGGCGGTTCGAATCCCCGCGGCAGGGTGCGCTCCCGTTGCTCGGTCCCAGCGCCTGCCAACCTAGCAGTTCGAAAGCACCCCCAGGTGCAAGTAGATAAATAGGGACCACTTACAAGCGGGAAGGTAAACGGCGTTTCCGTGTGCTGCGCTGGCTCGCCAGATGCAGCTTTGTCATGCTGGCCACGTGACCCGGAAGTGTCTCCGGACAGCGCTGGCCCCCGGCCTCTTGAGTGAGATGGGCGCACAACCCTAGAGTCTGTCAAGACTGGCCCGTACGGGCAGGGGTACCTTTACCTTTACATTTACCTTATGCCTTAGTTATTTAGGATGTTGTATGCTGTGCCCATTATAAAGTTCCACAAGCATATAGAATTGTAGAGGATCTATGAATAAAACACAAGTGAAGTGGAACATAGATCATGTCCTAGGAATTGCTAGAGCTAGCGGGCCTGGCACCCTGTCATCCCAACAGAAAAGCCCTTGGTCTACTCAGAAGTAAGCCCCACTGCGTTCAAGTGGGCTTACTCCACTTGGATTTCCAAGGGTATCTGTGTTTTGGTTCTTGTGTTATTTTGGAACATGTGGATTTGAAAGGGCTGTGCGTTTGATAGAGCTTTAAATGTGAACTGACTCAAATCTCTCTCCTCCCAACATCCCACCCCGCGGGATCCTTGGCTCGAGATCTCCTGCCCCTTTCTCTCCCATTTTAATTTCTCTCTCTCTTTAAATTTGCTTACAGGACAGCTGGGCACTGGGCACATCTCTGTTGCCTCTTGCTATCCCTCACAGACCATGGTGCAAAGTAGCAAGCAGGCAGTGCTGGGAGTCCTCAGCCACCTGCCCTCTCCTTTTGCCCAGAGACATCCTTAAATTAGCATATGCAAAATGGATGCAAATTTGTGCCACAGGCCTGCACCCCTGGGTCCTTTTTTAGCACCTAGCAACGCCCCTGGTTCTCTGAAGAGTCTTTAATTAGAAAATGGGAAGTGGAAGCCACTGATCTCCTAACAACAGCTCTGTGTGGCGCTGCCTCTTTCCCAAGCAGTTGCAGTGGAAGGGGGAGAGGCCTTCTCAGGGTTCGTTTCCGTCTGGAGTCTCATGGCAGTTTTGTTTTACTTTACCATTATTATTTTATTTGGGCTTCAGTACAGATCTCTTTTCCCCTCCCTTATTTCTTATGGGGGCAATGTTACTGCTGGTGGAACAATTCACAGCCAAGACAGAGGAAAGGAATAGACTGAAGATTTAATGTAGATGGTCTGCAATGTGTCTGACTCAGTGCTTCCTGTGTAACCTCTGAACAACAAACCTGAAAAATCCTTCCACTCCAGGTCAGATTTATTCCTGGTTTAAGAATATGTGCAGTGCTTAGATTATTGGGGGGGGGGATTATTAACGGAATCCCGCACCTCTCAACTCCCTCTATTTTTGCCAAAACAACTCCCATATCTTGGTAAAAACAGCAGCTTTCTAAACTTGCCAGCCCACTCTGCCCCTCCTTAAGATTTGAGGGTTGACTAAGTCAAACAATTAAAACCACAGGGCTGAGTTTGTGTCACAATTCTGTGCAAGTGGAGAAAAGGTGCAGCAACAGAATCCAGCCTCCTGGCACATCAGCTTTCATGCACAGGTGTGCGTGGATTTTTTAAAAAATGGGGAAAGTTTCTAGTCCCTATGATTTCACTGATATGCTTGAGAGCACAGGGACAGTACCTGGCAGAATCTCGGAAGCCTTTTGAATCCTATTTGCTGATCAGAAAAAAGGAGTGCCCCAGAAACGATGGGTGTCCATGGATGACATGCTATAGAGGAAGTGCAAGGGGAGTTCCTTCCCTCACTTTTCAATGTGATTGTCCTGCTGTCATCTTCTTCCACAGCCACTATTGAGCTAGATGGACCAATGGTCTGATGTGGGAGAAGATAGCTCCCATGAACAGAGAGGCAGTTGGGGAGACGGAGAGCTGGGAAAGAAGCTGAGGGCATTGAAGGCTGTCAAAGAACTTTCTGTGCATTGCCTGCAAGTTCACTGTTACTGGTGGGAGTGGAGCACATGGTGGAGCAGAGGCAGCCTCATGGAGCCAGTGGTGCATAAGAAGACAAGAAGAGCCCTGCTGGATTAGGCCAAAGGTCCATCTAGTCCAGCATATGTTTCTGACAGTGGCCAGCCAGATCCCTACAGGAAGCCACAAAGCAGCACCTGAGAGCAACAGTCACTCTCCCCTCCTGCATTTTCCAGCAACTGGCATTCAGAAGCACACAGCAGAGCCATCAAGATCCAGCTGACCATTCCCTCCTTATCCTCCATGATGGAACTAGGAAGGGTTGGGGTTAGGGACATGCCTTGGCCACTGCATTGGCTTGCCAATGTTCTGCCCCAGGCCTGTTCAGGAGAGCATCTCCTCTACTCTGCCCCTGCTAGTTAGAGGCAAGCCCCACTGGCGGAGGAAGAGGAGTGCGGAGGGAGTGCACCGCCCCCAACAGCGTGGTCCTGGCAGGGTGCCATCGTGGCTGCTCCCCCCTCCCCCCGCTCTGGGCACCCCACCCCCAGGATGTGCACCAGCCCCGCCTTCTCCTGTTCTCTGCCCCCATCCCCGGTGCCAGAGCATGAAGCTCCGCCACTGCCAAGCCCCACCATGTTTGAGGGGACAGGAAAGGATGCAAAGGTCTGGAGCCTGAATCTCAGTCTCTTCAACAAAATGGTTCAATCGGCACCAACAACAGAGGTCTGGGGTCCCAGAACAAGCAGGAGGGGCCCCAAATGCAGCAGAACTGACTTACCACATATTGGAGGAAGTGAAGTAATACACATTACCGGCTAAAGAGCACCCACCCGCCAGGGTAAGACCATTCTGCCCAGTCTAAAATTATTGAGCTATGCCACTGTGAAGAGTCATTGGAAGTGGTCAACCTGAAGATGGGTTTGCACACTAGAGGAGAGGACAGGAAGATGCAAGGACTCTCTCCCTTCCATGCCCCTCTTATCTCCTTAGGCTGAAAGAAGCCCCTTCTTTCCTCTCTCCCTCCCTTTCCACCTCCTGTCCCAGCTGCTTCTTGGAGGGCTCATCCACACTGCTGCTTTTCCAGTGCAAAGAAAGCACAGGGCCCAGCTCAGAAGCGGCATAGAGCTTCTGCCCTTCACCACTTCTGAAGCAGGTTCTCAGGACGCAGCAGCAGCCGCATCCCCCAAGCTGAACAGAGCACACCTCATCTGAGGGTTCATCCAGGCTTCCTTTGCTGCCATGCTTTCAGGCTCTGTGTCCAAGCAGTTTTATTTTTTGTCCTAGCGAAATATACTACTGAATCAGAGCAAATGGTAATATGCGAAAAACCAGATTCAGCAGTAAAATGTGGGTTTTCCTGCAGAAAGTGCTAGAACACACACACACACACACACACACACACAGAGAGAGAGAGAGAGAGAGAGAGAGAGAGAGATGGAGAGAGAGAGAGAGAGAGAGAGAGAGAGAGAGAGAGAGAGAGAGAGAGAGAGAGACTGCCAGGACAAGGCGCTTCAAAGGCTAGACCTGCACCTAGAAATGTGGCACAAAAGGAAGTCTGGATGATCCCTTAGTCCCGCTTCTGGCTTGAGACAGATTAACCTCCTCCATCTTCCCAGGGCACTGATGTTGATGAGTTACAGTATACAGTGGTACCTTGGGTTAAGTACTTAATTCGTTCCGGAGGTCCGTTCTTAACCTGAAACTGTTCTTAACCTGAAGCGCCACTTTATTATTATTATTTTTTATAATAATATTTATTAATTTTCCAACAAATTAAACACAACACTACAAAAAACAAAAAACAACAACCATACAATAATAATAATAACAAAGAAAGAAAAAGACTACAAAACACTAACCTACAACTAACATAACAAAACAAAAACCATTTAAAACACAGTCCAATTTCAATATTTTATCCTCCTTTCACTAATTTCCACGACTTCCTCGCACCTCCCTTTTTGTATTCCACTTCTATTGATTGTTTCAGCAATTCCTTTCCATCTTCCTCTATTTTCTATCCTATAATTGTCTTAACACATTCTAACCTAACTTTTCCCTTTAATGCTCTAATAAGGTCAGAATTAAACTTAATTCCTTGGAACATTTCTACTAAAGCCATATAACTTCATTCCAACATTTTTCTAACATTCATTAATTTTACAGTATTTCTGTAAATAGTCTTTAAACTTTTTCCAGTCTTCTTCCACCGACTCTTCTCCCTGGTCCTGAAGCGCCACTTTAGCTAATGGGGCCTCCCGCTGCTGCTGTGCCGCCGGAGCATGATTTCTGTTCTCATCCTGAAGCAAAGTTCTTAACTTGAGGTACTATTTCTGGGTTAGCGGAGACTGTAACCTGAAGCGTATGTAACCCGAGGTACCACTGTAGTCTGCTTGGGAAAGGGATCTTAGCACTATGAGTGATCATAAGCTTTCCAGTCCTTGCCAAAGAGCCCGGGTTCAGTCCCTGCTATTCTCAGGTGTGTGTTTTCAAAAGGGTCTCAGGTAGATGGTGATGTGAACAACCTCTGCTTAAGATCTTCGTGGAGAGCCTCTGCAAGACAGAAAAGGCAAGATGGGTTGAATGGACACATAGCCTGATAAAGTATGAATTGTTAGGGCCCTGTGCCAGAGGACTCTGGAACATATTTTACTCCAGTACAGCAGGTGTGGCTAAACTAAAACTCCCAGCACCCCTAACCATTGGGCCATGCTGGCTGGGGCTGATGGGAGTTGGAGTACAACATCTGGGAGACCCACAGGTCTGTCCCTGCCCCCCCCCGATCCTTGCTTCAGGTCACAGCTTCTCAAATGCTGTGGTATTGAGCCTTCCAAAACCTTAGGGAATTGACTTTTGACCCTCAGCTTCCTTACACGCACTAGCTGCAGTACAGAGGTTTCTGTGGGGGCTTAGCACACATTCCCAGGTAGCCATCTTGAGATGTTGCTTCTTCAGCCAAGGCTTGCCTGTGGTGCAGCTCTACTTTAACCACAAAGAGCTCTTCTCTGCCAAGCTCGTAAGGTAAACATGAGGAGGAATCAGCTGATAAGACTACCCCCCCCCTAAAAAAAAAATGGAACAAATACAGAAACAAAGATAACGGCAGAGAGACTCGGTTAATTGACCTCAAAAACACAGCTCCTGGATATCTGCTTGTGTCCGCTGTCTGTCAGGCGCACAGCCTCCCCATCTTGCACGTCCACAGGCAGATTTTGAAGAGATCCCAAAGGGTCCTGGTTCCTTATCTGCAGAAGCAAAGCTTTCCTCACCCTCTGTGATTAAGGAGACATTCAACTGTCTTCCAACCGCTGTGATAAAAAGAAGGTGGAGTGTTGGTGGGTGGGGTGAGGCAAGCAGGCAGAGAACATGGCTTGGCAGAAATAAATCCCTCCCTTGCCTTTTTAGATATGATGGATCAGCAAGGATGGATGAAGTGTTCCCATCAGAGGGTGAGTTTGCACGTTGCCTGCTTTCATCCCTCAACAGCTAGGATATTTTTGTCAATTAAAAAGCCTTTGATTGATCCATCCATCAATCAATCAATCAATCAATCAATCAGTTGACTTGCTGATTTGAAAGAGTAGGAGTAAGATCCTGGCACACTGGGAAGGAAGTTCCACAGCTATGGCAGCAGATCTGATAGGTCATGTGTCTCTTAGACCTGTCTGCCTGACGTTGTATGTCACTTTCCATAACATGTTGTTCACTGGGCGTAAAACAGAGAAGAGGTATCTGCACCCTGCTAGATGCTGCTCAACTACGACTCCCTGCTGGTCAGGGACTGATGGGAGCTGAGGCTGCCATCATTATATTTCAAATTTATGAAGTGCTTCACAGCCTGAAGCCATTAAAGCAGGGGCCAACAAGATAAAAATGAAATACAGTCGTACCTTGGTTGTCAACTGCCTTGGTACTCAGACATTTTGGCTCCCAAATGCTGCAAACCCAGAAGTGAGTGTTCTGGTTTGTGAACTTTTTTGGAAGCTGAATGTCCGATGTGGCTTCCACAGCTTCTGACTGAGTGCAGGAAGATCCTGCAGCCAATCGGAAGACGCACCTTGGTTTTCGAACCATTCTGGGAGTCGAACGGACTCCCAGAACAGATTAAGTTTGACAACCAAGTCAGAACCCCCCCCCAACAAACTCTAAACACAATAAAGCCATCTGTATGAAGTCTAAAAACAAGGAAACTATTTCTATAGGTGTAAAATCAATATGTAAAATCACATGTCATGAAAAGCTTTCTTTAAAAAGTCTTCAAGTAAATGCCTAAACATTCTGAAGCAAGGCGCCTATCTAATTGCAGCTGGTAATTGTTTCCGAACTTGGAGACCAGCAACATCTGGAGGGCCACGGGTCCTCCCCTCCTGGCATAAAGACTTCCACAACTATTACAGTTTAGCTCTCAAGTGCTACATGCCTGTCACTCATCCCAGGGCCTTTGCACTCAGTAGCCAGAACTCTGGAGTCCTGGAAGGCGGGAGTAAGTTTTCTTCGTAATGGACAAGAGGGCCAAATGGAGCTTGCAGAGTCAGTCTCACCAGGCAGCTGCCACAGCCCATCGCTTTGGAAGGGGCCCCTGCTGCTGACCGCTTGGATCCTGTAACTCCTGTCCCTGCTCCTCCTGCCACTTGCTCACTCACAGAAAGCCGTGGGCATGAGCAGAAGGATCAGCAGCTGCTCCGGCAAACTTGCTCATCTGCCTTTTCCCTAGGGGCGGCTGGTGGCAGACTTTGGGCTCTCAGATTTCAGTGGCACCTTGTGCGATGCTAAAATTCGGAGCCCTCCTCCACTCACACTCCATTCTACAGCACTGCAGCATTGCAGCCGGGGCAGCCACAGTGGTCGTGCTACTCTAAAACTGCACAGTGGTGGGGGTTAGGACCAGAGGGAGACTGCAGTATGCCTGAGGGAGCCAGCCCTCCCTCTGGGCTTGGTTACATGCAAAAATGGTTCTTACTGATGATCTGGTTTATAACAAGAGAGGCCAGGGAGGAGCTGCAGCTTACTGGTGGAGTATGTGTGTTCCCTGGTCAGAGCCGAGCTGAGCATTTCTAGGTGACGTAATGGCCCAATCCTCATGGATTCAAAAAGACGACTTTCTCAGATGTGTGCATTGGGATGTCGCACTGTTTCACCCTGAGGTTCCCAGTGGCCGTATCAGAGCAGGACTTTGGAGAAGAGATCTGGGGACCCCTGAGTAGAATGAGTAAGAGGGCCCTGGAAAACACCATTTAACATGTCCCCTTCATAAGGCCAGGAAGTCCAGAGTCTAAAATCACTGTACATACCCCACTCTGGATTGAACATGGGGACATAGGAAACTGGCTTATTCCAAATCAGACAGTTGGTTCCCCTAGCTCAGTATTGTCTACACTGACTGGCAGCTGTTCTCCATAGTTTCAGGCAGGAAGACTCTCACAGCCCTACCTGGAGATGCCGGAGATTGAGCCTGGGACCTTCAGCATGCAAAGCTGCTGCTCTGCTGCCGGGCTCCTGCCCTTGCCCAGGGAACCTCTGCTTCCTGTCAGGCTTCATCTGCAGCTCAGGCTGGCTTATGGTGCTTCTGGAAAGAGGGAGTGATGCTGCAGATTATGAAGCAGAGCTGGGATGAGCCCCAAGATCAGGCCGTGGGAAAGTGCACGGGGATTTGCAATGTTTGTGATTAACTAATCCAGCTCAGAGCATGACTAGAAACCAGATCCTCCGGGCCTTGTGGGCAATTGGGTATCATCCCGGCCTTGCAAAGTGAGCTGCAGACCACAGACGGCTGTAAGCCATCGACACACCCAGACAGCTACGCAGGACAGCATGAGCCAAGATAGAAATATGTGCACACACAAACACACGCATTCAAGAGGACTGGGTCAGTGAACACACAAACTTGAGCGTGTGATATGACCACACACACAATGCACTTCCACTTACTTCCCTGTTTAGGGAAGTTTTTAATATTTAATGCTGTATTGTTTTTAACACTTGCTTGGAAGCCGCCCAGAGTGGCTGGGGAAACTCAGCCAGATGGGCGGGATATAAATAATAAATTATTATTATTATTATTATTATTATTATTATTATTATTATTATTATTTTATTGTACTTACATCTTGCCTTTCCTCTAAGGAACAACATCTGGGGGGGCATCAAGCTTCCTCACCCTGGCATACATGGCTCTCCTCCCCTATTTTATCATCACAGCAGCCCTGTGAGGCAGGTGAGACTGGGAGTGCAGCAGGCCCAAGGTCACCCAATGAGCTTCATGATGGAGTGAGGATTTGAATCTGGATCTCCTCATCTTCAGAGGATCACAAGTAGCTGGGCTGGCAAAGGTTGATAATCCTAGGACAGATCAGTGTGGGAGGGGTTAGACTTTGACCTGGGAGACTGGGGTTCAAGCCTCCCCACTCCCACATGAATTTCACTGGGTCAGTGGTTGTGTGGGAGGAGCTTCACACGGGATATCAGTGAAATAATAAAAAGATCAGACTGGCAAACCCCTTTCACAGATGCTGCCCAAAGTCTTTTAATTGGCCTCACTTTGGAGTAAGGGAGCAGAGGCAGCAGCCCCCCAATTTCCACCCCCACCAATTCCCAGGTTCTGAATGTGTCTTTTCCCTTTTGTTTGCAGAAGGATAAGAACAGCACTAATGATATATAAAAAAGATCCCTTCTCCAGCGGAAATTAGAATGTAGTTTGGAAAAGACTTGCTGTGCTTTGAGGAAGCCCTTGCTTTCCTTTTCACCATGTATACACATTTATTTTGTTCCACAGGCTTTAGAGCAGCCCAGGAGAAAGAGTCTGTGACCCTGAGGGCGTTCTTGGGCTCCAGCTCCCATCAGCCCCAGCCAGCCTGGCCAATGGTCAGGAATATGCGAGCTTTAGTCCAACAAACATCTAGAGGGCCAGCAGTCCCGCATCCCAGCCAGTAGGGCCAGAGGTGAGCCTCAGATGAGCACAAGCCAGCCTTCTTTCAAACTGCCTTCTTTCCTTTCAGTTGTTCAGTCGGAACAACTATGGGCAAAGAAGACTTTGCAAAAAAAATTAAAAATAGAGAGAGCTCACAGTGGCTCTTTCAGTGGAGTGACCTTTAGCTTTGGCAACTGAAATGTTTATTGTTTTAAGAAAGAAGGGTAGGATAAAACTGATCAGGCTCTACCTAGAGTCCAGCCCTGGGAAACCCTAGCTCAGATTACATCCCTGTTGGAAATTTAAGAATCTGCTTTATGCCATCAGTCTGTCTAGCCCTGTATTGTCCTACTCTGACTGGCAGCTGCTCTCCAGGGTATTGTGCAGACAGGGAGGTTTCCCCCATCACCTGCTACCTGATTCTTCTTGCTAGAGACGCCAGGGGCTGAGTCTGGGACCTTCTGCATGAAAGTATCATCTGCTCCGTAATAATTCAGCTATGGCCCCTGACCCAAATGTTGGGGTAAACAGAACATCTCTGAACAGATGAACAGCTGAACAGGGCAAAGGATTCTGTGTAGAGATAATTCTCTCCAAATCAGACTCCCCAGTTTGTCTGTGATCAGCCACTTGGTCACAACAAAAGCCTTTGAGCGAGACTTCCTGCTGGGGGAAAAGAGTTTTTTGTTTTGTTTGGCCAAAGTCCTATCCAGAAAAGGGAAATGCTCTGTGTGTCAATGGTTTATCTGATATTCCTGTCTTTGTGGCCCAGGATCTCAACAATCCCTGGCTTTGCTAAGTCCCATTTCTTTTCTGGATTCACTTATACACACAAACGGAATAATAATCATCATCATCATCATACCACAAAGCAACTATGCAAAGCCTGAGTAAGGGCTGCTGCAATCCTCCCGTGTCCTTGTGCCAAATCCCCAAACCCAGGAATGGAAATTCACTTAAGGCTCCGGCATTCTCTCGAAACGAGCCAGCCAAATAAATTGTGATCCTCCTTGCCAGCTCATATGTTCCCCTATAATCCCACATACATTAGCTGCCACTTCTATCATCACAAACTACACCACGGTTATTTGCTCTGATCAGGCCTCTAAATCAGAGAGTTCAACCAAAAGAGCTTCCCAGAGTCAAGAGGGCTGTTCAGCTGAAGCTGCCCAGTACCCAAGGCCTGGGGCATCTGAGGCAGAAAACCTCACAAGCAACTGTCCCAGGCAGTAAAAGGAGTAAAAGGGAGAAAATTAAATAAAGAACGATCTATTTGCTACCCTTTCTGCATACTCAAAATCAGCTGCATTGAGGGGGTCACAAGGGATGACAGAGGGATTTATCAAATTTTATATGGTGGTGGTGGTGGTGGGGAAAACCCAGGATAAAGCATAAATTATTAACTGATATTAAGGATAGAGGGGGGCTTTGTATTGCCAGACATGAAACTTTACTATGAAGCATCCTGCCTGTGTTGGATAAAAGAGTGGATAATCTTGCAGAATACAGATTTATTGGATTTGGAGGGATGGGACAATAGATTTGGATGGCATGCTTACATAGGCTATGAAAAAGTCAAAGTACACAGGAGCTTTCTAAATCATATAATAAGGAAATCATTATATACAGTGTGGGATAGGTGTAAAAACCTAGTAGGACAAAAAACACCTTGGTGGTTATCCCCCTAGAGGCCATTTCAGTAAAGAGGAAAAATATGGGGGGAGGGACTGGGCAACCTATAAAGAAATATTAGAGGAGGAAGAAAACCAATTAAAATAGAGAAAGTTTGAAGAAATCAGACATCATTTCACGGATTGGCTGCAGTACCATCAAATAAATGACATTTTAAAATTAGAAGAAAAATATTTGCGACAGAAGTTTTAAGGTTGGGGAAAGACTTAATAGAAAATAAAAGGAAACTATCTAAAATGTATAGACTCCTGCTAGATTGGGAAGTAAAAGAGGAAGAAGTCAAGGAAGCAATGATTAAATGGTCAAAGGATTTTGGGTATACCATTCGGATGGATGCTTGGGAAAAATTATGGACTAAATTTCTAAAGTTTACTGTTTGTTACACACTAAAGGTAAACTTCATGAAAATGTTTTATAGATGGCACATGACCCCCAGCAAATTGGCAAAAATGTACAAAACAAATTTAAACATATGCTGGAGGTGCAAACAGGCTGAGGGAACAATGTAACACATGTGGTGAGGAATTTTAAAAAATTTTCAGACAAACATTTGCAATAAGAGAAGGGTATTCCTATACACAACAGCAGCAAGAATGTAGATTGCTAAAGATTGGAAGCGAGAGAAAACTCCAACGAGAGAAGAATGGCAGATAAAACTCTTTGAGTATTTGGAACTTGCAAAGATGACAGAAATAATCAGGAATCAAATAAACGAAAAGTTTACAAATGAGTGGGAGCGCTATAGAGGATACTTAAAAAAACATTGCTCCCAAATAAAATCTTTAGTGTGCTTTGTTTAATTTTTGCAAATTGCATGAAAGATGGATAATGTATTTTATTTGATGATGGTGATTGATAAGGTGAAAAAGGATGCAGTTAAAAAAGAAAGAATGGTCCTGCAGTGAGGTAGATGGAAGTCACATTAGAAAAGTAGATGGCTATTTATTTATGATTTAAAGTTACAGAGATACATGGTGTTGAATATTTTTAATAAGTAGGGGTGTTTTTTCATGATTTTTTCTTTGATGTACTCTATGATATTTTTTGATGATGAATGGAATAGATGTAATATCTAATGAAACCAATAAAGGGCCATGACAAAAGAGAGAGAGAGAGAGAGAGAGAGTCACATCACCCTGCCAAACAGTAGAGCTGGACTCGTCCACCTTCCCCCCACCCTGAATCAACAAGAAGTTGCATGATGCAGCAAATGTGTTGTGTCACATAAGCTTCTGTGAGCCAGAGACCACATTATCTGGGGTTGCCATACGCCCGGAATTTCCCAGACACAGCTGGAATACTGCAGTCAGAAGCCGTGTCTGGGCAGAAATAGCTAAAAATGTCTGGGGAAATCCAGACATATGGCAGCTGATGTCAGGGGTCTACATTTTGGAGAATTTCCTTAAAACTAGCTCACATTTTCACTTTTTGAAATATGACAACCCTACATCATCAGATGCATGAAATGGTCTCAAACAAGTACAGGAGGTGTGGCAAGTGGAGCCAAAAGAAAATTTAATCATTTGTTTTGGTGTTGTTTTTATAAAGGAGACCAGAGTATCATGCAATGCAAGGAATATTGGTCTGGTATGTCACAATCCTCTTGGGAGCATACAGCATACATGCATCCAATCACATGAGCGCAAGATCCACTCAGTACGGGTGCCACCCACACCAATGAGCTACTGGCATGAATAGACAGAACAAGATCCACAGGGTAATCCAGTGTTTCCCAACCTTTTTCCGACCCTGGCCCTCTTCTGACCTTGTTTCCTTCCTGTGCCCCCCATGGGTGTAGCTAAGGGGGTAGCTCCCCCCCCCCCAAGTACAAATCAATAAAAAATCAATACAAATATGAGGTTCTGCCCTCCCTAACAAAAATCCTGGCTACGTTCATGCTCCCCCCATCCTACCAGTAGAAAGGTAGCTATATAAATGTTTGGGTGTGTTTTTTTTTTGTAAATAGAACATGTTTTATTTATAATTTTAATAATTTAT